TAATCATCCCTTGGTGGTGGTGCATTTCTCTGGTTCTGGAAGGTCTTGACCAATTCCTCAATAGAGGCTTGGGTCTGCTTCTGCCCAACCACCACTGCATCTCTCAGACCAGACATCTGTCCTTCAAGATCATCAAGCCTGACATCTCTCTCTTCCAACTTGACCCTTGGGAACCTGTCAAATCTCCTCACTTCAGGAGCATCTGGTTTAAAGGTACTATCAGTCCCACCAGTCCTTGAGAATTTCTCCGCCAACTTGATCAGTTCATCCAGTTGGATAGGGTCCTCCTTCCTGTCCAGACCTACAGGGCCAATGATTGCTCTAGCCTGTGCAGCATTATCATCCCTCAATAGGTTCCTGGTGTTCATAGCCAACTTCAGGGATTAAGCAAAGCCCTTCTCCAGGGTAGACAAGTACTTGGTGCATGCCTCCTTGTTCAGAATAATGGCAGGGGCCTTATACAACTTCTGCACCAAGGCTCTGAACTTCATGCCAAATCTGGTAAGCTTCCCTTCTAAAGTGTGCCTGATGCCTCTATATTCATCACAAAGCTCCTCGCCCTATCTTCATCTGCCTCTGGGTATACTTTCATGACTGCCCTCCTGAAGGCAACATAAGTAGTACCAGCTTGGTACTCAGGCAGCTCCCTCCACACTTCTCTCTTCTTTGCTCCAAGATAGCTAGTCAATAGCTTCTTCTTTTCAGCATCACTAGTGATACCAGCCAAGTCAAAGATCTGCTCCACATGCTCCATGAAGTCAAGGAGGTCTTCCTTGTCATCAGAAGTGAACTTGGGTGCATTGGTTTCCCAAGCTCTAGGAACTGTGAAGCCTTGGACATTAGCATTGGCCATGTTGTTCTGCTGTTGTTGTTGTTGGTGGTTGATGGGGTTGATCTCTGAATCAGAAGAAGATGATGATGATGATGGACTTGAACTGGGGTCAAATCCAAAGAAACCTGGTAGGAGTGGGTAGTCTTCCTCTGATGATGAAGAATAGTCTAGTTCAGGAGAGTCTCTGGTATACTCTTCTGTGATATCTCCCTCAGGAATAGGTGATGATTCTCTGAAATGTTCTGTTTCTGGTTCAACAATGATAGTTTGTTCTTCTTCTTCTTCTTCTTCTTGGATGGTAGGGTTTTGGTTCAAGCTCTCTTCTAGTTGAGCTCGACGTTCTGCGGATGTAGACATTGTTGATGATGGTATACACTCAGTGTATATGAATGGTGTTGTTGTTTATCTGAATGAACCCCCTCGCGGTGGGCTCTAGATGAAACACAGAATGTGGGACAATGGATGGAAAGGATAGGGAGGATGGACACTAGCACAAAGCACAAAACAAACAAAACTCAACACTCAAATAAACACTCTCTAACCCCAATGTAAACCCTAACCCTAGGCTAGGTTTACTATCCAATCCAATCAATGTTCGTGTTCAGCGCGCGTGTTCGGGGGTTCCAACCAAAGTATATGGTTGCTGCAATTCAGATAGGTTCAACAATGGGTGTGGTGGTGGTGAAGAATGGATGGGATGGACAACAACAACAATAAATCTGCAAAGATCAGCAATATCAACAGCATTCGGGGTTCTCGGGCAGCGTAGATCAACAAAACAATCTTATTTCGTTCACAAAATCAAAGGTTCATCATCGTCGTAGGCGTTCTCAAAGGTCAACAGTTCCACTTTCCACTATGGGGAGCAATAGAACCGCTATGGGGGGCGCGTTGTATTCTGAACTCTACTGTAATCTACAGCGGGAATATATACCTGGAGCTCCCCCGCCTTATCTAATCAATGGCCGTGGCCCACGGCGTCTCCGCAGTCACGTACTCTGTTCTGAAACGGTTTCAAGTGTTTCTGACGCATCCCAGCCCTGCGTTTCGCGTTTGTGATGCATCTGGGTCTCCATAATTGTTGCATCCCTTCGTCTGAAGGGTCTGCGTTTCGCCCTGCTCGCGTTCGAGCCCAAACGCGCCCTCCTTTATTGTTTGGGGGTGTCCGCTCCGGAGCTCAGCCCACCTGTAGTTGTGCACATTTGACAACTGCACTGAGTGCACTGAGCCAACCTGGTGTCAAATCCACTAGCTCCACTGAGGCCTGAGTGCAGTTAGTGCATTTGTCTTCTGTTCCCCTATAAGACTGATCAAACTTTGATATAACATCAGTATTAATAATTGTTATACTTAATAAATGAATGTTAAGTTCCTTTTCTTCAGGCCGAAGACCCGTTATATAATTTGAAAGACTATATATATAGAAAATAATGAATAATCCCAATTTGGACAGAAATGATGTAGCTGGTTACAATCATCAAAACTTTTGATGGCAATCAAAAATGTTTCCACATTGATGACATTATCTAGATGCTATCAGTTCCATCATCAATTACCATAATAGTAGTCTTAAATAAATAAAATAAGCCTTTAAATGAATGTGACATATGTGACAAAAAGCCCTGCTCAGTGTATTTGACAACTGCTATGCTAGCTGTAGCTAGTTGCATTTGTAAAAATATAACGCCTATGGCTCCTCAGCCGCCTGCCCGAACGTGGCCCGAATGGCCCTTCCAATCCGTTTCCACCGCTCGGCGCGTTGCGCGCACGACAAGTCCATGCACAGATAGCCCTGTACTTAAGTAGTTGGGCGTGGGGCTATTCCCCCTGGTTTGGTATCAACTAGGCACCTGGACCCTCATCCCCTGACAGATAATGGGGAATAATATAACATTCTATTTAGACACACAATATCATATAATAACAATAATAATAATAACAATAATATCATCATCAGTAATAAAGAATCCTAACGATCAAACAGTGCAAGTCATTCAGGCACCAGGACAATTCATCCAAATCTCACACACTGGGCCTTACAACAACGTGTCGGCGAATTATTGCCCGGCACGCCAGAAGGAAAGGCGACATGGTGGAAGAGGGAAGAATTTCATGTGTCGATAAGTGACGCGCAAAGAGGCCTCTTTGGCTGGCAGCGGGAATCCAGGGGCCTTGGAAGGGCCAGAGGCCTCTTTCTAGGAGGCCCTTGGAGGCCCTTTTGATTGCAATCATCAATTTGATCATGATCATCAATTTTTTACTTCTCTACATAATCATTGTCATCCAAAAGGTACAAAGCGCCATCATCGGGGATTGCATCAGCTTCGGCATCAGCCAGATCGTTTTGGTGCTGTACCTCCGCCTGCTCATCAATCTCATCTTGCTGTATGGGATCAACACGTTGACGCGATACAGATTATACTGACTGATGCGATCATGATCCAATCACAAGGGCCTTGTAAGGCCCTCGAGTCTGGCAGCCCGGAGCCCAAGGGCCCTGGGCAAGGGCCCCCGAGGCCTCTGCCATCAAAGGGCCTTGGCACCTTGGGCAATCACTGGATGAGTCACGGAAGCATCACGCACGTGCCAATCATGTGTGTCTGTTGATGGTCCGTGCGCCGGCTGCCAAGGGAATGATACCCGCCATCACCCCTCTCGCTTTTCCTCCTCCACCCATGACGATGACGCCTGTTCCCCTCACAGGACGGCGGTCCCTCTCGATACCACGACTGCCTTCCCGCTTGCCCTGTGGACTTCCGCGACCCCGACATCCCGTGTACGCGCATGCCTGCTTTCGTCCCTTTTCCGCGCCGGGCGGCCCTGCCCCAAGTTTTGATCTGCGGCCAATTCGGGCCTTTTCCGCTCACCCTCGGAGACTGCGCGGACTTGCGGGGCCCTGAGTCCGCGCTTCGACCGCAGACGGTCACTCCTATTTCGTGCGCTATCTGCGAGTGTGTTGGGATGTCGGGATCGCGCAGTGGTGCGGCGCCGTTGCGTTCAAGTCGGGTCCTCGTCTCCAAATTTAAATGTTTTACGGCGAACGAGATGAGTACCAACGCCTGTCCATATACTTACACTGACGACCTTCCTTTCACGATCATGGGCCGAGCGAGCCGGCGCGATAATCAGGATAAAGCGAGGTGCCAGTGTCTGCTCCACGGGCGCACCGCAGGGCAGCCGCGCAAGCAGGCTCTCCAGCCAGGGGCTGCTGGGCTCCGCGCACGTATAAAGACTGCACGCGAGCAGGTTGGGCCGTATCCCCAGTCTTCCCAGTCTTCCCAGTCTTCCCGACAGCTCAACAGGTGCAGTACAAATACAGCATCCCATTGGTCGATTCGCTGACGCGGTCCACAGCCGTAATACCAGCATCACCATGCAGTTCATCACCTTCGTCGCCGCCATGCTCCTCGCCGTCTCCGCGGCCAGCGCCGCGCCCGCCGCCGCGCCCGCCGCCCCCGTGCCGAAGCGCCACGTGGAGTGGCACTACGGCGCGGACTGCAGCGGGCGTGTGATCCAGACGAGCGACGACACGGCCGACGGCCTGTGCGTCTTCCTCGGCTGGGGCGCGAGCGGCCGCAGCATCTCCTGGAAGGGCGCCACCAACGGCATCGAGCTGTTCGTCGCCGGCGGCAGCCAGGAGGTGTGCAGCCTCCGGGCCGACCCCGGCGCCGACGGCCCCGGCAACGTCTTCAAGTCCCTCGCCGAGGAGGGATGCGCCACCGCGCCGCCCGGGTAAGCGTCTATTTCGCGTGCATCGTGACGCGTGCTCGTGGCTGACGCGCATGCAGATTCAACTGGCAGAGCTTCCACTTCCTGGCACCCCCGGCAAATTAGGTCCACTTGCGCAGGGGCTTCTGCGGCCCAAACCCACCCGGATACCAACTACCTACTCTCCTTTCCTTCTCTCGCCAACTTGTTCCGGCCGTCCGCGGCCGGACTACCGCCGCTCCTTTGAATTCCGTTGTACAAACCTGTTGTTCCCATAATCAGTTGCCAGTTCAATCTCCCGTCTGTTGCAAGAATAACCACCAAATCACACTCGAGTAGTGATTGCCTCTGGTAAACCAAATGTTATAAGGAGTCGCAATCTAAATGTCTCTATTGGAATTCATCGTCTAAATATCCCTACCAGGCCCACGACGCAGACAGGCACCCGTAGACGTGTGTCTCACTGATACCGCACATAGAGGTTTCCCGCCAGCACCGTCCCGCGGCGGGTAGCATTGCAGAAGCGGTAGTACGAGCTGTTCATGATTAGTATACGAAAAAATGTTTGTTATCCCGACGGATCGGCGACGTACGGAGCGGCGACCCCGAACGGACGCGACCTGCCCGGATGCTTGAATACCTGACACGGGGGAGAGGGAGGGCACGCACATCGAGGCTCCCACGAGGGCGCCGAAGAAGTCGGCGAGGCGGACGCCGTCGGCGTTGCACACCGTAAACTCGAGCGCTGCAGAATCGGTGCGTCTGTGAGGGCACTGAAGCACGTGGGAGCGGACGGCGTACCCGCTGGACCCGGCGCCGCGAGCACGACACGCGCGTGGAGTTCCGTTACGCTCGGGATGGCGATGAGCTCGGCCGCGATGCCGTGTTCAAGCAGCAACATCGAGCGGGTGGAGTCCGTACAGCCAGCTGCAGCGGGAGACGAATCCGGAAGGCGAAGGGACGCGGGCGGGTCCCCGAGGCGGTAGCGAACCCGGCACAGCGCAGGGTGGAGCTGACGAAACGGTCGCAAAGGGCATCGGGCAGCGAGCGCGGACACACACCTTCACCGGCTCAATCCGGTATCCCTCCCAAATGGCATCGTAGTCCACGCCTGCAAGACCGTCATCGCGTGCGACAAGCCCCACCATGCCCACTCACGGTTCAGCGGGTCGATGAAGACCGCACTTGGACGCCTGAACCGCTGCACCATAAGCGCGGGGTCGTGCGTGACGACCTCGCGGAAGCGCTTGCACACGCGCAGAAGAGCCAGCAGGGCCGGGTGGGGAAGTTGCAGGAAGATCCTCGCGAGGAGTTCCGGTGGGAGCGCATCGAAGGGCTGGCGGGTGCGTCAGCAGCTAGTAAGGAGCGGGGCAGGGGACGCACCGAGAGGGACATGGCGATGAAACTTTGACGCCAGTCATTCTCATTCGCTATAAATGTGTCGGCGCTGGCTTGCCGACTGACAGCGGCTGGCGGGGGCGTGCTTGACTGGCGGTCTCATGCAGATAAGGACGGGGTTTGGCCATATCGTCTACTGTCTTAGACAGTACCGGTCTGGACAACCGCCATGACCGCAGCTCAGAAGCCCAGCTGCCCCGGGTTCACGCGTCCAGCCATCGTCCCGGCACCGCGGGGAGGCAGCGTGCAGACACGTCGGGCACGTTGTCCGGCGGTGCGAAGCGTACGCGGAGTGGTGGGAGCGAAAAGAAGAAACGTGGCTGCTTACGTATCGCGTTACATGACTGTGACGCGCTTGCGACACGTGCCGTCGTGGATGGTCCGTGCGCCGCCCGCCTGCCAAGACACGCCATCACCCTCTCTTGTCCACGAACCACCACGAGCGATGCTGCTCCCCCCCTCGCGCGCCCAGGACGTGTGGTCCCCTTGCTCTCCGCGCCTGCCGACTCGACCCAAATGTGGCCCTTCCTTACCCAGCTGTTATTTCAAATAAATAACGCTGACTTTTTCAAATATGGTGGCGATGATTGACGAAGGACGGCCGCAGACGAATACGCCGCCGCCCGTGCACCGCCATGGCTTTCGGGCCCAACGGACAGAGACATCAGACCAAAGCGGTCTGCATCCACTGCAACGGGTCATAACGGATAAATGAATATTCAATTGGAATGCCTTCAGGCTTGCTTCACCCGCTCTAATGGCCAGCCTAATGTAGGCGCAGCCCTTCCCGGAGTTTTCGCCAGGGCCCGCCTGCATATAAATACGCAGACATGTACAGCTTTGCGGTTCCCCCTGTCCCCGACGAGCCACCACGTGTGTTTCACCCCTTCGCTCGCCGCATCGCTGACCCGATCCCCAGCCCAAAGTCACTATGCACATAACCAGCCTCTTCTCCGCCCTGCTCCTCGCCATCCCCGCGAGCGCCGTGCCCGCCGGCTCCCCCGCGCCGCCCGCCGGGCCGCTCCGGCGCGTGCTGTGGTTCAACGGCGCGAACTGCACGGACCGCTCTATCCAGACGAGCTACGCCGCGCTGGACAGATGGTGCATCTGGGACGCACACGGGATCACGGGACGCAGCTTCGCGTGGACGGGCGCGACGAACGGCATCGAGTTCTTCTGTTTGGGCACAACTTACCTTTGTAAGTGTTCAGAACATCCAATACACTTCAAATCATGATGCCCGACTCACCAGAACTATCCACAAGCGCCGCGAAGCTCAAGGCGAAGCCAGGCGCCGAGTCGCCGCCGACATTGGCCCGTCCAAGGCAAACAACAGAGCTGGCATGGACCAGCCTATTCAACGCCGTCCAATGCGAACCTTCCGCGCGAGAAGCGGCCATCAGAGCGCTAAGCTGGCGGCGCGGCGCGGCGACTGCGCATGCCAGTGGCATTGCCTGCCCGACTAACAACTGGTCAACAGCGTTGCCCGCCCGTTGCCCTTTGGCATAGCGCCCAGTTCTCCGGCCAGGACGGGCTGTACTCCACTCACCAGTGCGCAACGGGGAGTGCGCACACTCATATAGGACTTGAAGTCGGCGCGCGCCGCGCCAAGTATAATTCGTCACCGGTCAGGTGGCCGTGTCTACCCTCGGCCGGTGCCGACATAGCCTGTAGACGCGCCAGAATGCGGAACCCAACCCCAATCTTCACTTTAGTCACTTGGTCGGCGACGCCGAGTCGGAATGTCACAAGTGTCACAGGGTGACATTCCGACGACGACGTGCGCCGCCGGGCTCGCCGATCTGCATGGAATATGGTGCAGAGTGTCCCCAGGACTCCGAGTCCCCGGTGCCCTTTTCAGTTTGAGCCGCTTAACTATGCGGTGACCTCACCGGTCGGTGCCGAAGAACGCCGACTGTCAACTACATCGACGGGCTCGGAATCGTACCAAGCCCCGCCCTCCGGAATGCGTACCGCCCGCTCACTGCGCCGACAACTTGCATGCACCGCAGAAGATGGCGGAAGGAAGTCGTCGTGAAGGTCGCACGCCATCCCACGCCACGCCACAGCCATCAATGGCGTGCACGCCGGCGTTTGGCGGGCGCACGCCATTCGGCCACGCCACTATGCGAGCTCTGCAGTCAGGACGTGTGCACCGGTGGGCCCGGCGTGGTGTCCAAGGCTGAGGACGGGTGCGCGACCGCGCCGGACGGGTAAGCGTCTGCCTGTTGCCGTTACGCGCTGTCTGTGGCTGACCGTCGGCGCAGATTCAACTGGCAAAGCTTCCGCTACCTGTAACCTGGCCCCGCCGCCGCCTGCACCCACTGGCACCGTACCCATCTGAGGCCCGGGATGCCAACGCCGATTCTCGGGTCCGCCCCACTGTCGGTCTTCGCTCTTTCCTGTTGTTTCGTTCATTCAGTAGCACACAATCCATCATGATCTCGTTTTCATCCCACTTTATCAGGCTTTATCAGGACCTACATTTCTAATTTCTTCTCCTCGCACAACCTCCACCCATTTATCACCCTGAAATGGACTTCAAACAGGGGCTACTCATTATGATGTTGTTAGCCCGTAGCTTCATCTGTCTGAATGCACAAGCGGAATATGGAAGCCCCTGCATCTTTGCTGCTCGGATCAGTAATTGCCATACATGGTAGACACTGAAAGTGCCAGTATTTCATCGGATAAGAAATTCAAGGGTCCAAATGTGATATTTAATTCTGCCTAGATTCCAATAACTTCAAGTAACTCGTCTCCGTTTGTTTCACCTACCACGCTACAAGCACTGACTGTACTGCACCGGCGTCAGAGAAACTCGACAGAGACCACAGAAGACGACGCACATCCACGTTGACGTACGTACATGTGTACGGGCTCGCGCAAACCGTCGGGCCAGCCCATCTGCAGCCGAAGTTAGCTCCATCGCTGGCGAATCGTGGTAGGGCACTCACGCAAATCCACTATTGTGCAAATCGTCCTCAGTGGGGTTGCACGTTTTATAACGTCAGGCACTCACCCGCACTGCCCGTAGTGTGGCGCCGTCGCGCCGGTTGTCGTTGCAGCAGAGCTTGAGCTCTTTGTTGCCGAGCTACTCTTCACCGTGGACGAGCTCGCGGGCTTCACGGTCGACGACGGCTTGACAGTTGTGCCACTTCCTCCGGGGCAGGTGAACACCGGCGGGCCGGGGACAGTGTAATTGGTAAGGAGCGGGTAGTAGATGTTGGTGGTGATGCCGGGGTCGCTACCCTGCATGTGCGTCGATCCTGATCGTGACAACGGAAGAGAACCCACCTTGTATGCACCGGGGAAGGACACTGTTGCGGGTTGCGTGCTGCCGCCGCCCGTGATCGAAAGTTGCGCACATTCCATCTACCACATGGTCGTCAGACAAATCGATCGCTGAGAGTGAGGGTTGATACGAACATAGAACTGCGCGCCGGGATACGTAGTGGCGCCTACACCGGATATCAGCACCCTATCCTTCGACGTATAAGGTGGCTCCGAGTCTACGCACTGTGCAGGGCTTAACGAATTCTAATTAGCCTGTGTCAGAAAACGGCTGAACCTACGCACCTATCATTTCATGTCGCAGCAAATACTGCCCCGCGGGGATGCACGGCGGGATCGTGAAGGTGACCTTGCCCTTGTTCGCGATCATGCGGTCGACGCCCCACGTCTGGTTGCTTGCGACCAGCCCGTCCTCCTGGATCTTGAACCACTTCAGGCCCGTTACGGTGCTTTGAAGTGCGTTTGGGATCTGTGCACTGGGTGGCATGAGAAGCAGGGATACAGACAGCAGCATATGAGCACCCACAGGTAAGTAATCGTCGGTCCGTGGTGCGTAGGGTCAACACTGCACATGATCAGTGGACCGGAGGGGCGGAGAGTACTGCAAATTCACGGGTCTGCTGAGTCGCTAGGGTCAGGGCCGACCAGCGAATGGTCTGTTGAAGTGTCAGACACCCAAGCTTTTGAGAAGATGCAATGAACGCACGCCATTCAGCAGTGAATTGGGCCCCAGCGGGCACCGTGATGACGGTCGACGGGAGCGGCGTGTGGTACGGGTTGATTCCGCCGTTGCAAATGATATCTACCTTCTTATCAAACAAGAAAAAATCGCATGAGATGACGGCTAACCATTGGAAGTGACGTCCGTAATTGGCTGAGGAGTGTCAGAAAGGAGGGAGGGAGGGAATGAAAAACGCGGACTCCGTCGTAGTCAGGCACGCGGATGCCCGTAAGGTGGCCCTGGCTGACGCCGTTCACATATGCTTGCTGGAGATACCCTGTCAGCCCCCCGAGCGCTTGCACCACTTCAGACACACCTGGAATATCGTGTGCCCCCTCGCCACCGAAGCAGACACCGCGAGCGCGAGAAAAGACCCTTTTAGCAGCATGATGGATTTCTGGAGAAAAGCGGGGCTATAATTGTGGACACAGTCGAAGCTGAATTTATCGTACCCTTCTCCCAGAGAAATGCCGCACAAGAGAATTGGCGGGGGGCAGGCCGGATCAGCGTCGCGGAAAATGCGGCGGCAGATGTGCCTCGCCCAAAGATCACGAGGAGGAGACTGTAGATATTCGAAGTCAAGTACAGTGATCCGGATATCTTGACATCGGTATTGGAGTATTTGGAGACCGCATTGAGCGAAATTACGGGTGGGGCGTGCGGAAGAGCGTCGTAAGTTTGGCTTGGCACGTAAAGGGTCTTGCTGGCTGCGGACTGTCGAACAGATGACATACCACAAAACCTCCGCGCCACATGGAGCAGGTCGCGGCCCGGCACCGACGACGACCATGGGAGTTAAGAGCAAGCCGTGTTTGATGAGTCAGCCAGAGGCACCTGATCATGACGTGTCGCTTGTTGATGAATTGATCGTCGGATGTCTCTTCCGAAGAACCACCATGTCAGTCCCACCGCCCACTCATGCTCTCCTCTCCACCCATGGTCGAGCGCCTTCTCGCTTTCCAACACGAAGCAGATACGAAACGCCAAGCCCTCGTGTGCTATTAACACCGGGTGGCGCGGCCGCCGCCGAGTTTTCTGCTTCTTGAGAGCGGCGACTGGCTGGCTATCTTCAGTGATAACTTGAAGGCCGAGCTACAGCCACAAATCGTGGACCGAAGAACCCTTGGCGGGTGCTTTCACTACGCTTATGGGTCTCGTCGCACCGGGACGCCGAGCAGCGCCGGACACCGGGTGCGCATGCACGCAAATACCTGCCTAATACGGCGACGACGGGTAGCGCCGAAAAAAGTCGGCGGGCTTGGCAGTGTGTTAGACAAGTATAGACATCGGTTTATAAGGTGAGTACAACAATGTATCCCCTCTAACTACTTCTCACAACTTGCACTGCACATGCGCATGCGTTTTAGCTATCTCGCCAGCCTCGCGCTGCTATTTCCCCCACTATATGTTTCTGCTGCTGCATGTACCAACCTATCTCCTGGCGGAAGTAACTCCAGTGCGTCTCTCTTTGCATCCTTGCCATGTGCAATCGTCACTGACACCTGCGCTTGTAGCGCCGTTCTGGATGGGTGATCGCTCGCTTCATGCTCATGGCAAGAGTGCATTCAACGCCGGCTTCAAGGTCTTCCGTAATGTGAAAGACTACGGGGCCGTCGGCGACAGCGTTGCAGACGACACAGCCGCGATAAACAGAGCCATCAGCGGTGAACTTCTCTGTCCTTTTGGCCATACAGATAACTAATCATGTCTGCCAGACGGTGGGGCGTGTGGCTTGGGCTGTCCTTCATCTAGCGTCAAGCCTGTGCTGGTGTACTTCCCTAGCGGGGTGTACCGCGTCACTGGACCCATTATTCCGTGCGTTTCTAGATCTTCCTCTTCCGTGGTTGCGGACTGACAATGTACCTAGGTACTACTTCACTGCGCTGTATGTCTTGTCATTCAACAGCTTTGCCACTTACACTTCACCTGCGCAGTGTCGGTGACTACAACAACCGTCCAACACTTCTCGCCGCGCCAAACTTTGCAGGGATTGCCATCATCGGTAAGCAACTCTCCGTGATTGTGCGCACTAATGCCGACTCCTCGCAGATGCCGATCCTTACATTCCCGGCGCACAAAATCCTGACGGCACGGGCGTCAACTGGTGGACAAACCAGAACGTGAGTCGCTTTCGTCCCTTACAACCTTGCTCATATTTCCTGCCTAGAACTTTTTTCGCTCTGTGCGGAACTTCGTCATCGACACCTCCGCCATGCCTGCTACTGCGTTTGGCACGGGAATCCACTGGCAAGTTGGGCAGGCGACGTCCCTCATCAACCTCGCTTTCTTCATGAGCCGCGTGCCGGGAACTGCGCACCAGGGTATGTACATGGAAAACGGCTCTGGTGGCTTCATGAGCGACCTCACCTTTGACGGCGGCGCGCTGGGCATGTGGGTCTCCAACCAACAGTTCACCATCCGCAATGTGCGGATCAGCAATGCCGCAACGGCTGTGTACCAATGGTGGAACTGGGGATTTGTGTGGCAGGGAATCAGCATATCGTGAGTCTTCGTTTCGCGTTGATGGCCAAATAGGCACTGACGCACAACGACAGCAACTGTGGAGTTGGGTTTGACATTCACACCGGCGGACTCACGCTGGATCAGCAGAGCGCCGGTGGGCTTCTCATTGTTGACTCGGACATCAGTGATACCGGTATCGGGATCAGGGTTCGTTGCCTCACTGTACCGCCCATACCGACAGGTGACTGACATGCATAACCAGACTTCGACCTCGCAGCCATCCTCCCTTGCAGGCTCTCTCATGTTGGATCATGTGCGCTTCGTACGTATTGCAACTGCAAATATTCAAGATGCTGCTGGTCCGGTGATGCCGGCTGGAGACACTGCCGTTGCGCAGTGGGTGATGGGCAATACATATACCGGTAAGTTGTGTCATCTCAGACATGGGCACTAGGCTGACGTACTCAGGCACTGGCACGCGGACCTACACCCGCGGCCCGCTACCCACGCCGATACCGAAGGCCCCAGCGCTGCTTGACCCAAGCGGCAATGGCCGCTTTTTTGTGCGCTCTCGGCCACAGTACAACAATTATCTTCCCAGCCGTGTGTAATCGTTCCTCCGTGTGCGAAACCCTCATATATATGTACAGAGTTCCTCTCGGTTGTTTCCGTTGGCGGCGCAAAGGGCGACGGTGTGACGGACGATGCACCAGCGATCAATGCCTTTATTGCTGCGGTGCGCTCGTTCACTTCTTTACTGTCATCTACTCACATGACCCAGCATGCTGGCTGTGGGATCCTCTATTTCGATGCAGGTACATACCTTGTCAAGAGCACCATCGTCATCCCAGCCGGCACAATCATCGTCGGGGAGATGTTTTCCGTAATACTCGGTGCCGGGTCTGCATTCGCAAATGCGAACTCACCGACCCCTATTCTACGTGTCGGCGCCAAGGGCGAGCGCGGCATTGCTGAGCTTAGTGACCTTGTTATCACTGCAGTCGGCGGCTCCGCTGGCGCGGTTGGCGTTGAGTGGAATATCGCGCAGAGCGGACCTGGAGTGGCGGGTATGTGGGACGTGCATATTCGTCTGGGTGGAACAATTGTAAGTCTTGCTGCCGTCATGCTTTCAAACGCTCTAATCATGCAAGGGTACAAATATTAATGCCGCAAACTGCCCAATCACGGCACAAAACACAGCTGCATGCACTTCTGCGTTCCTTGGCCTGCATGTGAGCAGTTTCGGGTCGGGGTACTTCGAGGTAGGTTGTTCGTTACAGCAGTCCCTATGTTTATTAATATCTTCTAGAATGTTTGGGTGTGGAACGCCGACCACGACCTAGACGACCCAAACCAGACACAGATCAACTCATATAGCGGACGTGGTGTTCTTATCGAATCTGCAAAAGGTCCTGTATGGCTCGTCGGTACTGCATCGGAGCATCATGTGCCTCAATTCCAAGTGTATCCAACTTCTTAACTGACGGAAACTCAGGTGATCTACCAATATGCGTTCTATAACACGGAAAATGTCTATGCGGGACTCATCCAGACGGAAACACCGTACTTCCAACCGTCTCCGAAGTCTCCCGCTCCGTTTAGCATCGTGCCAACCTACGGTGACCCGCCCGGAACACGGGATGCTGCGCTCGCGCTCGTCATCACTGCATCTGCGAATGTATTCATATATGGCGCAGGGTTGTACAGCTTCTTCCAAAACTATGAACAGGTCTGTATTTCTCCACATATACTCCTTGACATTTGTGAACTAAGCTCTGGCTATGTAGGCCTGCGTCACTTCTAAAAATTGCCAACCTTCAATTGCCCTCGTTGACAAGTCCTCTTCTGCAGTGCACATTTTGCAACTCACTACTGCCGGTTCTGTGGCAATGCTCTCCCAAACGCCGGGGATGCCGCTAATTACTGCATCGGATAACACTGATGGTTTTGCATCAACTGCGACCTATTGGCGATCCTCGTCACTTGATGTTCCACCTCCATACACTGGCTCAATACCCACCAAGAACTGCTCAGCACCACCCAAGGTGGTGGGCTACTATCTGGGCAGGTGCATACTAGGTTACTTACCTTGTTCTCTGTCTGATTGCACTGGCATAGTGCTCAAACCCGGGGGTGCTTACCATGGGCACCAGATGCAATTGATTACACAACATATACAGTCTGCCTCTATCTATCTATGTTGTTTGATCTAACTCATCATGCAGCATGTCATATATGGTTATACTGGACTTGCAGCAAATGGCACAGCCAGTCTCACTACTGCTCAGCGCACTCAGATTGCAGGGATTGTTAGTCTGCGGCAGCAGGAGCCTAATTTGAAGATTATGCTTGGTGGTAAGTCATTATTATCATGTCCCCTGATGAATCTAACATAGGCAGTTGGTGGCTGGGGCTTTGGCTCCTCAGATAAAGCCAACTTCTTGGCAATGGCACCAAGTGCAACAGGGCGTGCGACATTTGCATCAACTGTTGCAGCACTTGTCAATGAGTACATCTTTGTTTCTAGCCTGTTGTTTCTGTTGGCTAATTGCTGCTGCAGCCTTGGTATTGATGGTGTTGACATTGAGTGGCCATACTGTACAACTGGCACCTGTGTCTCTGTAGAGCAATTCACAAGTCTGGTATTCACGACCAAAGCAGCACTTGGTCGGAATCTGCTAGTATCTGTTCAGCTTTCTTTGGACTTCTGGTATGTCTGATCTGTTTGTTGACAAGGCCTGCTAAATCTTTATAATGCTAGGTCATCAGCTGATGTCAGCCTTGTAAGCAACCCCTTTTAAATTGCTTCCTTAAACTGAACCAATGATAGGGCCTGCCAATCATTGCAGCCAGTGTAGAATTTATCAGTCTGATTACAACATATGCCAACTCACCCAAGGCCCATGGGGAAGATGCAAATACCATCTCCTGGATACAAGAATCCCTAGACCTTGCTGCAGCTGCAGCAGCATCTGTGCCCTCAAGTATGTTTCTGTTTGGTATACCCTTCTTTGCACGGTAAATAGATTTCTGCTCAGATTTATTCTTGAAATACTGATATTATTCTTCCTAGCCCAATACCTGATAATGGCACTACAACCATGTTACAGAGCTCCTGCATTGAGAAGGGGGCACTGGGCCAGGGCACATACCCATACTATGCTGTTGATTCACTCCTCCAGGGTGATGATGCATTTGATGGCATTGTCTATGACCGTGATGCATGGACAATCTATGGCACTGGCCTTATTTGGTATGAAAATGCCTTCTCTCTTAGTGATGGATCAGATATGGTTGCGGAGAGCAAGCTGTCTGTTGCACTAAGGGCACAAACCTCTCAGCAGCTGTGTATGGGTGGTGTATCTGGTATGTTATCTTTAGGTTATTGAAAAATGGTTTGTTGAATGTTGTGCCAGTTTATAGTATTGATCAGGACACCCAACTGTGGGATCTAGCAAATAGCATATACAGCCCAGGGGGGTTTTCTTCCCTCTACTTTGGCAATCTACCTCCGTATGTATCAGTTATTGAATTATTGCCTAGGTGCTTATGTCATTTGCAGAAAACAGACCTGCACCTGCTATAAATGGTGATGGATATGTTACTACCAATTCCTATGTTGGTTGTTTCACTAGGTTAATCCTCTGCTATATTGATCATAATTCTAGAATGACTTCTCAAACTTTGTGGCCGCTCAATACCCCTTCCTATCAGCTCTAGATACCTATCGACTACTGCTATTCAATGCCTTGGACATTCAGGGCCAGATCAGCAACCATCTGAGTAGCCTTCTCTCTGCACCAGAGCTGTCTGCAGATAACTTTACTATCTACAAGCGCTGGGAGGGCAAAGCTGTAGATCTTGCTATTGCAAATACCACTGGTCTTGGCAACCAGTTCTGGAAATGCACTGGTGATGGGACCCCTTTTCGCTGTCCTGGCTACATTATTGTTGATGACTCTATTGCTGCTCCTTCCCCACATTATTCACAATATGATGTTGTGGAGTGGACCCTAGTGGACCATGATGGATGGAAGGCATTCTTGAATAACACACTGGGTCTTAATCTGGACATACTTACTATTGGCAGCTTTGATGTCTCAAGGCCAAGTTTGTGTTTGCTTTCAACTAGTGGTATTTATGCTGATTAACATCTCTCATAGTCAAGACTTGCTCAGTGCAAGTCCCTCCTCCTTGCAAGACTGGCTGTAATCTTGTACCAAATGCAACTCCAACTTCAACAAGTGGTCAAAATTCTTCACTGGGTCATGTTCTTCAAAAGCGGGATGACCCACTGATCCCAAACCCTGCATGTCATACTACATGGTATAGCTATATGATATATAGATATTGCATAGGCTGATTAGACTTACAGGAAGGGTCTCTACCTGATTGACACAGATACCTTCTTTGTCAATCCAAATGGCATCATCAATGTGAGTAGTATCATCATCTGGGAATAATCAATTTGGACCTTATGTATATCAGAGTTACATTGAAAGCACTGCACAGTCAGTGGAAGCTTATACAAATGTGGCCCAGGATGAAGGGGTGGAGACAACTGCCCTACTGTCCTTGCTCCAGGTATCTTATATCACTAGGCAATATGATCTGAACTCAGATGTTTTCTAGGCAACACTTACTGCAGTTTCTTTGGGCAACCAGACTATTGCTAATACCCTTGTATACATCAATCAGGCAAGCAAATATTAACATACAAGAGAAATATTGATAGGAAACTAGACCCGGCAAGATGAGCAGGAGCAAGGTAGTTTGTGCATTTTCAACCGTATTTACTACTAATGCCATATGGCTTCTCAGCCCTTTTTGAGGCTGAATCCCGCTTCTCTGTTCTTGATATGATCCTTGATATCATTGTAAGTATAAAATATTATCTTCAGACAACATCTCTGTCTAATATCTAAATAGTTTGGTCTTTTAGCTTTTATTCCTGGAGGTGCTTTCCTTACCCTAACTGTGAACCTCCTCTCTCATCATCATCAATTCTGCAGTTGGTGAAGTGACAGATCTGATCCTTGGTGGTGCTTCTGCAGCAGACCAAATTGCAGATTTTGTTGGCATTGCAGAGATCGCAAATGATTTTGGCAAGATAGGGGAAGACTCATCCTTTGCTAGGCTGTTTGGGAATCTGCGCACAGATGAGGCTGTTGGCCAGGCAGCTGCTAGTGTTGAAGAGCACCTCTCTGAGGGGGTGCTGCTGACCCGCGGGCAGTTTGGCAGGACAATTGAAAATGTTCAGGGGACCATTCTGGACTGTGCAGTGGACCTTGGGGACTGGGTGCTAGATGGGGCAGATTTTGGGAATGCTCTCATCTCACCAAGTATTTCTGGGGCTATCCATCCCAGCACAGGTATTGTGAAAGAATTCACAACACAGTATGTATCATTTATATTCTGTTGATCTGCAGCTAATGTATCAATACAGACACAGACTACCTGTAAATCTCTCCAGCATTGATGAGTCCCGCAGGAAGCGAACAGGACCCCCATCTGCTTGTGTATGGACAGCAAAGGTAAGGATAATCAATGTATTATATAGGAGATTCTGAACATCTGTCTGGCCCTAGACATCAAATGATTTGAAGATCTCTAGTGACAGCTATCGGGCACTTTGTAGCAGTGGAAATCTCGCCATGGATGTGCCAAACAGCCTTACAGCACCAACTAGCACAAGTAGTATGACCTTTCAGAAATGTGTGGCTGCCCATGCAGGAAGCTGTCAATGTGAGTGACTTTGATGAATTTTATTTGGGAGCTCAAAATTGCAATAGGTGATCATCTGTATGAAGGTGCCATCTGATTTCTATTTTTTGATTGAAACTGAGATGAAACTGCAGCCACTGAGTTCCGCAGCAAACTACAGCAACTGAGTCTTGCGGAGCGTGCAGTATGTCTTCATATCTCAGCATTCACTAAACCTTGTTAAATGATATGCTAGAGTCTCTGCTCATTGCCGTTTTTTGCCACAGGCAGCACAGATCTGATCAAGAACATCATTAATGATCCTGACAGTAGGCGGTGCTTGGCCCACACCCAGCTTGTGCTAATATTCGTCTGCAGACTTTGCTGGAATCTGGGGTTTGTGTTCAAGTGTATATGCTGCACAGTTGATATATCCCCCGCAGGCCATCGGAGCATCAATGCAAATACATTGAAAAGTACACTTTTGGTAAGCAGGTGTGTGAGGGCCAGAGCTGAGCTAATCTTCATGTCTGCCAGAACAAGTACCAGGGAAAGAAGGGGCTGAAGAAGGCATTTGTACGCAGCATTTCCCCGCTTGCAAGGAAACCACTTATGTCATGGACACAGACCAAGTTCAGCAAGCCGGGGCAGGACCTCATGTTCGACATTGTCGACAAGCAGCTGTCGGTGTATCAGCCCAACCGGGAGCGCGTGGGCGACAGGATCGATGCGCAGATGCACAAGTGGCATGCTCAGGTTTGTAGCCATCCTCTGGCAAAATGCCAACAGCTAACAACAAGCACTGCTAGGTTGTGGCCCAGGGCTCCGCAGCGCAGCAGGCATCCTTCAAGAAGCTCTGTTTGTACCATTTGCACTGACTATCTCAGAGGGAGCTGATGCTGGGTAGACACGCCAAACGCGGACGGGTCGCAGAAGTCGACGTACAAGGCGCTGGCGACACAGAAGGCCAGCGATGCACGGGCGATGATCGCGGCGGTCAAGCCGAAGCCGGCTGCGTCGGCGCAGCAGCCCCCACTCGATTCGAGCGACGATGACTCGGACGACAGCGGGAAGGGGAAGAAGAAGGTCGCAACTGGGGCCGTGAAGCGCAGCGCGCAGGCGCAGGGCTGTGGGACGAATACCGTGAAGACGAGTAAGCGGACAAAGGTGTGAGTTGGGAGATAGACAGGTCGTTCGCGTGATCAACGGGAACTGCGAACAGCTTTAAACAGGGCGATTCAAGGATTCAAATTGTTGTATTTTACGGAACAGGATCAATGAAAGTGACAGAAATGAGTGGAGGCCCGGGCCGGCCACCAGTAGGCAGCCGGAACGATTTTTTGGGCACTTGAGCAAATGAACGTAAGAAGTTGGTGTTTTTGTCGGCCTTGATGAATGGTAAGCAATTGGTATGCTCAGCCGCGGGGTGAGGGTACAGCGGGCCGCGACGTCGTGACGGTCCGCGATGCTGGCCGCGACGTCGTCACTGCGGGCTTCGTTGGCGGGGGCGGCAAGAAGCGGAAGCTCTGCCAATTGACGCTGCGAACCAATCAGCCATACCCATACAAGCAAAAAGAAACACATACCCGGGCGGCGCGGTGGCACATCCGGTCTCCTCGAAGAACGCGTTGCCAAGGCCGTTGCAGACATCCCTGCTGCCGCCCGAAATAAAGAACTCGATGCCGTGGGTGGCGCCGGTCCAGGAGAAGCTACGCCCGGTGTAACCTTGGGTGATGTAGACGCAGTCGCCGATGCGTGCGTCGTCGCTCGTCTCGATCACGCGATCCGTGCAGTTCGCGCCGTAGTGCCACTGCACATGATGAGCTGGAGCGGCGGACGGCGCAGGCGCGGAGGAGATTGCAGGCGCAGGCATGGCAGCTACGGAAACTGCAAAGAGCAGGGCGGCGAAGTAGGCGATGAGTTGCATGATAAAAGAAGCTGTGGAGCGCGTCAGCGAGGCGGAGAGAAACGGGGTGGACTCAACCACTGAGGTTGCTTGGGGGAGACTGGGGAGAGCGCTCAGCCGCCTGCGTCTTTATATGCAGGCGGGCCCTGGCGGAAGTCGCGGCAAGGAGGGTCGTGCACGGCCTAGTCGACAAGAAATGGCCCGGGTGGGTCGGGTATGTGTTCCTGCCTGAGCTATGCCCCCGTCGGTAATGCAGGCAAAACCGCCCAGATCAGCGGATACAAACCGCTGCGGTCGACGATCCCTGGGCGTGTGGCATATTAGGCGTCTGGCCAGGGAAGCGGGCTCGCGTCCTTCGTCTTCTCCTGAAACACGACGTTCGTTTTCTACATATGAAATGCGACTGCGGACCGACCGAGGCGGACTCGAGACCCTATTGGAGAGAAGGGTCCCGTTTACGAAGCAGGGAGAGCCTTGCCAGAACGAGAGGAGGAAGGCAGCGAGGTCATGGTCGACAGCCAAGAACGGCCCTCGGTGACGTGATCACATGCCTTGGCAGACGGCGCACGGACCATCAACAAAGGCACGTGTCGGGCGTCGCTCCGGAAGCTGTCGGACGTGCCGTCACGCAGATCTTCCTTGCTCCAAACTTCCATGTCGCCGTCCCTGCTCCCTACTCCCGCCCTCCGCATCTTCGCGCACCCGCGCGACTAGCTACAGGGCTGGCCAGTGGGCGTGGCGCAGACGCCCTGAGCGCTGCCAGTGTATCGTGCGGGTACTCATCATGCCCCTGCTCAGAGGCTTGGCACGCGGCGCAACCGCGGACCGGCTCAGGCCGCCGACCGACCGTCACCGAGCGTCTGACCAGTGCGTGACGCCTAGTGCGAATCAAATGTCGCTTTCCTGACGAATCAAGTGCTTGTCGCAGCCAATAAGCCTCCGGGGCACTCACGCAAGCGCCAAGCGCAGCAGGCCCGCGACGTTCTTCCGCGCGCCGCTAACTCGAATGTTATTATCAACGACCTTCCTGCAGCGCGCAATCGAACCCTAATCCGATGCTTATTTCGCTGACACCCATTCGCAGCCTTCCCTTCTCCCGGCGATCTCCACCCCCACACGCGGTGCGAGGCACGTCTGCCGCCGCGTTTTCCCCCGACGCTGATCCGGGGTGCGCCAAGTCCGTTTTCGCGGCGTTTCTCTGGAAGAACTCCGTCATAAAATTAGCTTTTGAGCGCCCCCCGTCGAAGCACGAAACCCTGTCTCCCCAGTCGTGCGTCATTTACCCCCGCATGAAGCTGCACGCCTCCTTCCTCGCGCTCGCGGCATCTGCGGCAGTGGCGCGTGGGCACACCATATTTCAGGTGCGTTCACGCTGGTGCAAGCGCTCGAGCGGCTGACAGGGTATCTACAGCAAGCATACGTGAACGGCGTCAGCCAGGGCCACCTCACAGGCATCCGCGTGCCCGACTATGACGGAGTCCGCGTCCTCATTCCCACCCTCTGTCCTTGCTGACACTCCTCAGCCAATTACGGACGTCACTTCCAATGGTTAGCCGTCATCTCATGCGATTTCTGCTTGGTTGATAAGAGGGCAGATATTATTTGCAACGGCGGAATCAACCCGTACCACACACCGCTCCCGTCGACCGTGATCACGGTACCCGCGGGCGCCCAGTTCACTGCGGAATGGCGTTCGTTGCACGCATATTCTAGAAGTGCTCGACCGGCTAACGCTCCAACAGACCATTCGCTGGTCGGCGCGGACCCGAGTGACTCTGCAGACCCGTGAGTATAGGACTACTCTTCCTCCACGTCTATTGACTACTTCCAGCGTCGACCCCTCGCACCATGGGCCGACGATCACTTACCTGTATGTGCTCCGCTTCACCGTCTTCCTGCTTCTGATGCCACCCAGTGCGCAGATCCCGAATGCACTCCAGAGCACCGTCACCGGCCTGAAGTGGTTCAAGATCCAGGAGGACGGGCTGATCGCGAGCAACCAGACGTGGGGCGTCGACCGCATGATCGCGAACAAGGGCAAGGTGACCTTCACGATTCCGCCGTGCATCCCCGCGGGGCAGTATTTGCTCCGGCACGAGATGATCGGTAGGTTTACATCGTTGAGAGTTGTTGACGCGAACGGCTGATCAGGTTCTGTGTAGCCCTGCATGGTTTGTGGAACAACTAGCAACGCAATGGGTTTGTGCGCTGACGGTTGGTAAAGGCGCGACGGCGTATCCCGGCGCGCAGTTTTATGTCAGCGCAATTGCCTTGCTACACCCATCCTCCGTCTTACCCTTATTCCAGATGGAATGCGCGCAACTCTCGATCACGGGCGGTGGCAGCACGCAGCCCGCGACAGTGTCCTTCCCCGGCGCCTACAAGGCTAGCACTCTGATACTTCACCGCGCACTTGCTTACCCAGAGTTATTGCGAATAGGGCACCGACCCCGGCATCACCACCAACATTTACTACCCGTTGCTCACGAACTACACCGTCCCCGGCCCGCCGGTGTTCACGTGCTCCGGCAGCGGGGGCGGGGGGACGACGGCGCCGGTGTCGTCCTCGTCGACGGTGAAGCCCGTGAGCTCGTCCACGGTGAAGAGCAGCTCGACGGTGAAGAGCTCGAGCTCGGCGCCGGCGACGACGGGCGGGACGGTCGCGCAGTACGGGCAGTGCGGGTGAGTTACTCGTATTTGCTTCATCGTGCTAGAGACACTGCTCACGGCCCGGGACAACAGCGGAAGCGGGTACACCGGCGCGACAGCCTGCGTGAGCCCGTACAAGTGCACTTTTGTGAATGACTATGTGCGCTCTTTTTTCTTGTTCCCTGTGATTAGCGCTGACGGGGGTGCAGTACAGCCAGTGCTTGTAGGCCGGCAGGAACGGGGGCGGGGGCGGGGCGCACTGCAGCTGGCAGGATGTAAGTATAATGTATTGGACATATCTGGAATCATTCGTGGCTTCTCCTTTGAACGTCGGGAACACGCAAACAGGAACCCCTTCGCTTTGGTCCAAGGGGCCGCTACGTTACGGGTAACGGCGGTCAAACCAAGGGGGGTTCAAGATCCTTATCAGGCACATGGGGTAGGGGGGAGGGGGGGGGGGGGGAGGGGGAGGGGGGGGTCCCTGGGGGGTAAAAAAAACTTTTTGTATATAAAAGATTTGGGCCTTATATGGGTATAAAGACACCGAAAATATAGTGTATACCTTCTAATTTCTATACTTCAGCACTCTCATTACTTATATCTATCTACCTTCAGGCCCATGCACTTGGATAGCCCACTCTGTCAGAGGCCCATGCATCAGGTAATTGATGAGAGGTGAACATGTTGGAGTGTTGATATGGCCTGCCATGTGTGTGTTGGAAGGCTCTAGGTACATACATACCTACACATATACACATACACATGTATAAATTTTTTACAAAAAAAGTTTCACAAAGATTGAATTTTTTATCCCACTTTTTGATCGCATCAGTGGTCACATGACGCTGATCGTGAGAATATATTACTATATATGGCAGGAGGGGGGGAGGGGGGGGTCCCGGGGGGGTCGGAAAAAAACTTTCCGACCCTATATCCGTGATTCGAACTTTGAACCCCCCTTGGGTCAAACGGGGGGGAGTAACCCGAGCAGAGAAACCGGTCGGACCACAGATCGAACGATTATTATGCTAATGTCTAGTCTTCGAGACTTTGGCACTGCCTTGTCTCTCTAGACAGACCCAGCGTCGCATTACTCCGCGAAGAAGGGGCACTGCCAAGACTTGGCCAAGACGTTGCTCACATAACGACATAAGGTGTGACCGATCACCAAGGTTACTGATTGATTGGGCTTAGTCACGGGCCATTGACTCGGCCGTGACTCGGCCGTGACTTGCGTGACTCGGCCGTGACTCGCTCTCTTGCTTTCGGTCATGTCCACGACTACAACTTCTCTCTACGGAAAGACAATTTTGTCACGCTTCGAAGCGTATGCCGTCAATTGCAACGGTTTCGCGATGATGGCGGTGATGCCATCTCTTGCACCGCCTTTTCGTCTTTGACACTCGCTCTCATTTTTGCCGCGCTCACGCAAGTTATGTTACTCCAGGCCCGCCGTCGTTTCGTCGATCGCTGTTGCTGGCATTGACATCGTCATCAATGTCGCCAGCCGTCTGCCCACAACTACCACCCTCCTCACCAGCAGCGGTGTCCACACTCCATTCACCTTCGCTCTCTCTGCTGCCGCCATCATCGTCTGCTTCTGGCCCTTGGCTTGGGTCCTCAACACCACCTCCGAGGACCCCTGTGTCCGCTTGCTAAGCTCCAGCTCCGGGCAACCACTGCCTTCCACGATGGCTTCCACGACGGTCCCAATCTCGAAAGAAGACATTACTGCAGCAGCAACGCGAGACGCGTTCCTCTTTCCAAAGCAGGGTGGTGGTTGTGAAGAGCAAGTTGTGTGAGTTGACTCTCATATTATTATTTTTTCTTTCTCGCTTGAACTGAACGAGCTTTGTCCAGCCATGGGAAGACGAAGCAAGAGCTGCAGGCTCTTCTACAAACTTACCACCTTCCATTCACTGGCAACAAAGCGGTACTGGAGGAACGCCTCAAGGATTTCAGTGTTAAATTCTGTACAGACCCCGATAATTGGTGCGTTTTCTGACTGCCTTCATAACCATCTTCTTATTCTATCTATGCTTTAGCCGCCAGGGACGGCGAGCTACCGCCCAGCGCTCACATAAGGGACCCCGGGAAGATTCGAAGAAGACCAAGGTCAAGCTGTCCGATACACGCCGTTCGAACATCATCGATACAGAGCGGGTCACGGAACGGTCGAAGGACAATCGCACAGAGAATGACAAACAAGATATGCGGGACTGGGTGTGTTCATAATGTTTCATTCGCTAAATCTACTGACTGAAATATGAATGATAGGCCATTCGTACATGCGCAAGGCTTCTGTATCGACCCCCGCCTTCCGAGCAGTCTCCACCACCAGCAGAACAAGAGTCGAACGTGTCGGAGACGTCTGCAGTGATCCAACACAAGTAAGCTTCGAAGCCAGTGCAGTGTGTTGATACTCAGAGACGTTAGGCACATGATCTTTCTGCTCGAATCCAAGTGCTCGAAAGTCGGCTGGCTATGATCTCAAGGACGCCACAAGGCTATAATCAGCAAACTGCGTATATGGGGAATAGCCAGCTGAACGACTGCTTTGGAGGGGAATTCAATGAGTTCTACTGGCCCCAACAACCTATATTAGTCGAGGCGGGGCTTGCACCTATGGAGGTGGATCCAATCAGCTTTACTTGTGACGGTGACATGGTGTGGCTCGATGGCCTCTTCCTCTTGCTCTCTCTGATGATTACCTAGAACACGTTATCCACATTTGTTTCTGCAATGGCTGACGACAACAGGTATTATATTGGGCTACGCTATTACTAGCTAACATACCATTTAGCTCCACAATCAAATGTCCTGCAGACCGGTCTCTCGTACTTGGAGATGGGACTATCTTCCGAGTTACTGGTCTCGAAATTACACAACTGAGCGTGCCTGCAACCTCATTCGCCAAAAACTTATCACTCCTCAATGAGATGTGGGACGATACCTCACCCTTCTGGCAGGGTCAATCGATACTTCAAATTCGGGGTCGACATATCGCAATCGTTTACTGGCGTGAGCTTTTCAAAAGCACTGGTCAATGGTCTGCCCATAAATCAGCTTGGACGGAGTGGAAGGTATGTGTATTGACACTTGTTTATACATTTCTCTTGACTGTAGTCCAGTTTCTTGTCGAACGGTATCGGTATGGTACTGTGGAGGAGTTTTGGGCAGAGTTTACCCGAAATGGTAAGCGAATGACATTCACAGCCATTCTGAAAAGGTTACGGGAGGAGCGAGGAATTAGAAACGGTCATTTGGTTAAACAAGCACGGGCGGAGTATGGCAACAGGTTCTCAGAGGTTTTCTCTTACATATCATCATCTCGAAAAGGCGAACGGGTGGTTATGACTCGAGAGTCGCATATTGCGGAGGAGTACAAACGTCTGAAAAGGCTGGATGGGATAGAGGTTGACTAGCTTACTATACCTTAAATAATAATTCATGTTAATCTTTTGGATTCTGAAGTAAGAAAGTGGATAAACAAGAGATACCAGTATGGATATCTACATTCCGCAAGGGCAGTTTCGACCACATGCCGGGCAGAACCTGGTGACCTGTTGATTAGGATTAAGAAAATCCTCACGTCTTTGAGTTGGGTCATCGTTCCAACTGATCAAATACTTGACAATAGTCAAGTTGGAGAAATCCATGCTCCAGCCACCCCATTCACAGATCTTCCGAATACTCCAACGCTTGTGGGTCGCAAAATACTGACAGCCACCCCGACGGAAAGAGTGTGTCCCATACGGAATGGGATCACAGCCAATATCAAGGAGGTTGTTTCGGAAAAGCTCTAAGAATCTTTCGGATTTCTGCAATAATCAAAATAGTATCCAGTTGAGCTGAAAATGGAAATATCATACCATTGGGGAGGTTGGAATACAGATCTGATCTCTTTTAGTAATGTTGGGGAAAAGATACCCATCCTTGTGCTCAATAACAGAAATCCATCTGGCAAGAGCACGAACAGGACAGAGATGAGCCTCTTCCTCTGGCCGTTCATGGAGTACAAAATGGTTTGATGTCTAGAGACATTGTGGTCAGAGTAAATATAATGTTTTGGTAAGGCCAGTCAACTTACCTCCATACTGGCTTGTTTTTCGGAAAGGAAGAGTGAGCTCAAAGCTATGCTCATCAAGACGTCTAATATCATGATGCTGGATTTTGAGTGCCTCATCAAAGCGGAGTAGACAGAGGAATGCAAGCACATAAATAGCATGCAGCATTGCTCGTGTGCGTCCACCACACCAGTTATTGATGTCACTGATATTTCGATTTTTTCGAGTGATGGGTTTGATTTGTGAAAGCTCAGGTTTATTATTGAAGTGATAAAGCTTATAAAGCATTTCCTGATGATATGATCAGATCATTTTATTCTTATTTTTAAAAACGCACGGGTGTAATTGCACAAGCACTAGTAGCAACCTCTCCAGCACGAACTTTTTTTTTCCCGGAGGGTAATCATATATCGAGAGACAGCCTCAGATACAGATGGGTTTCCAACCCAGCGCCAGGTTCTTGTTCCCAAAGCATCAAAGCTATCAATCTGTTCCCAGGGACGTGAGCCCAGATCAGCAATACGACCAAAGCCATATGTTGCTGCAGCTCGCATCTTTTGAGCATGACTATAGGAAGAGGAGACTTGATTCAAAGATTTGGCTGTCCCGTCAAGGTTGATGTTGTCACATCTAAAATTAGTGGTAAGTATTTTAGAGCCAAAGAAGGAAGTCTGGCTTACTCGCTCATAATCCATGCAACAATGAATGCTGCCGAGTCGGCCACTGGTGTAGGCGAGAAAAAGAATTTGTCTTTTGGAATGAAACCTTTGTCATGCATAAATTTTTCGCACTGAGTGATCAATCTGACAATAATCAGTATTTCTTTATAGAGATAATCTAGATTATTTACCTTCGGTAAGATGCATCAGTAGCCTCAATAACACCCTTTGATGCCTGAGCAATTACTTTTTTCATACCGTTCAAGTCAATGTTATTGACAGCACTTGTTGTTGTTGTTCTAGCTCCATCAGCACTGTTTTCTTCAGAGTCAGTTTCCTCTTCTTCATCTGAAGCCTCGTCTTCATAAAGCCTTGCGTATTCATATTCAATGATGGGAAAGCCAAATGCCTCCTGTTCACCATCCAAATCATCCTCAATCTCTTGCTCCTCTCGCTCTATATGGTTTTCTTCAGCTTCGTTAGGATTATTATGTTGAGTGG